TTTCCAGCCACTCTTCCCCAAGCTTGTAGTGTTGCATGGGGTTCTGACCCAAGTGCAGGACCCGGCACTGAGCCTTGTTGAACCTCGTACAATTGGCCTTGACCCATCGATCCAGCCTGTCCAGATCCCTCTGTAGAGCCTTCCTACCCTCCAGCAGATCAACAATCCCATCCAACTTGATGACGTCTGTAACTTTACTGAGGATGCACTCAATCCCCTTGTCCAGCTCATTGATAAAGAGATTAAACAGAACTGGCCCCAATACTGAGCCCTGGAGACCACCACTTGTGACTGGCCACCAACTGGATTTAACTCTTTGGGCACAGCCATCCAGCCAGTTTTTTTACCCAGCGAAGAGTAATAACTGTCTAGTGTGAAAGACTTGGGTTAAAATGGGGTATCTGTAGAAGCTTTTGTGCTCGCCGGTGCAGAAAAACCCTCTCTTCCATTTGACTGGTAGTTGGCATTTGTAGATGCGAATACTTACTACCGTAATCCCCCATTCTTTGCTTTAAGCCATTGTTTAATTGGAGTTAAATCTCAACTGACAGGTTGCTTCCCGACTGTGTGGTTTTGAGGGCTAGTCCTGTCCTTGCACAAAGATACTTTTTTTTGCAATTGAAGTTACTTGTGACTTGCAGGGTAGGAATCATTGCCTCTGTTCAGTGCCTGGCACTGGGGTATTTTGGTGATGTGGGCACTGCGACACTGCTGGGGCATACACGGTACATTGGGAGAGGTGTTTTGTGTAGCCTGCAGGCAGCCGCAGTGCTAATGGTGCTGCTCAGCTGTGACTAAGTGACTGCATGCCGCAGAGACTTCAAATAGTTGTCTGAGAAGAACGGAGCCAAAGGACACTTTTCAGGAGGGGAGGCCTTGGAGGCAATCTTAGAAGTGGTTATGTACCTGCTTCCTTCAGATAAGGCAATTCATGTGTTTGAAAGAGGAGACTTAAATGTGAGAGAAATCACAGCTGCCTCTGGCAGAGCCCTTTCTTGTTACCTGCAGCAGATGCCCTGTGAAAGTTGGCTTTCCCCAGGGCTCTGCCAACGCCTCCTTTTGCTGGTTCCTTCTCACTCAGCATGTCAGGCTGATGCCTTAGATCTGTGCAAAAGCCAGTGGCCCTGGAAAGCATAGCTCCTTGGTGAAACCTCTTGTCTGTGAAAGAATGAAATCAGTCCCTCAAACTCCACATTTGTTGTGTGTTTGGAGTTTACCCTTTGCTGTGTGAATGTGTCCACTGCTGAGTACTCTGGGTTTTTGCTGCTGGTAGGCCGTGCTGCACGCTGTACTGATGATTACTGCTCTTCTTTTTCTGCAGGCAGCAGTTTTGATTGGTTTGGTGCTGTGGAGCCCGGGGCTGCCAGCACTTCCAGTCCCAGAGGACACTTCAGTTGTTAGATATCAGTTAGCTGAACGGTTGTTTCATTATGTCTCTTTCTTGCAGGCTGTGAATTTTTTAAGGAGTACAAAGACCGGGATTATACAGCTGAAGGTCTCATATTTAACTGGAAACAGGTATGTGAATGTTACAGAATGGAGAGCTATGGGCTTTACTGGGCTTAAGTCTTGCCTCAGAGCTCCTGACTGATGGTGTATATGTCATGTGCTTATTTCTGATCACAAGGAGGAAACCAACAGGACAAACAAAGCAGATAGTGAATGTACTAAATTATTAATTGTAAAATTCGTATGTGAAATAAATCGTTGTTATCCTGAAGTCCAGGATATTTGACCTCTATTGGTGTGTATGGGTTGCCTCTGGTTTTGAATTTGATATTTTATTGATAGCCTCTGTTCTCAGTTCTGTCTTCGTATTCTGTCTTCTACTGAGGGCAAAGGTTGAGTGGAGCAGCCCGATGGGAATTCAGAAACTGAAATGCCTTGTCCCTGACTTTCACTGTTGGGAGCACAGAAAAGCTCCTCTTGTCCACTAGTTCTCCTAAGAGACTCTGAGTTAGTTCTTACCACTTCAGGTTTTTGCATCCGAAGATGCTCTGCTGAGACGTTTTCTTTTAGATGCACCATTTGGCATTTGTTGTTTTGGTTTTTTTTTTCTGGAACTCACTGCCTTCAAATCACAGCTTTTCTCTGACGAATTGTTTTTCGTTTTTTTGCAGGATTACGTAGATGCTCCATTAAGTATCCCAGTCTCTCTGACCCAATCTCTGAATATTGATTGGAGCGAGTACCAGGTGAGCAAAGCAGGCATCTCTGTGGGAGGTCAGAGATTCATTCAGGAAGGATCAGTGAAGATTTGAAGTCTGACTTGCTCCTGTTGCTGTAATCTGACTCACTTCATACCATCCCAGTGGGAGTGAGGCTGCTTTCTTGCCTATTCAGAGTGGCAGTGGAAATCCTCTACCCAAAAGCTCTATGGCTTGGTGTGTCCTGAGGCAGCTGACTGTAACATCAAATCTTTTTCTGTAGCTTGTGTAAAGCTTGCAATCCATTAGGGAGATACGTTGCTAACAAAGGTAAGGAACATGCGAGGAAATCGAAGGAGTATTACTTGTTCACAGCCTTAACTCGTCACATGCCTGCTGTGGGCAGACTTTCTTGGCTGTGGAGAGTCTGAAGAGAGATCAGCCTTCCCTTCTGTGAGCAGTAGCCAAGTGACTAGGCACCTTCTTCATGGGTGTGCAAGGTGCTTGTCCTATGGGAGAAGAGTAGAAAATCGTAACTGACCGAAGCATGTCTCCATTCCTTATTACTGTGACAGCATTGCAAATGATAATTGAACTCTTAGTTTACCCGAGCTTCAAGGTTTACCTCTGTCTGCTCATACTAGGGAGCATCGCACTACTGATTAGTGTGCTCCATTTCAGACGTCAGTGGACCTACCAATCCCCCCAGATTTTGTGATGATTGACTGTAGTGGAGCATGTCATGCTCCTGTGCTCTGTGGCTGTAAGCACCACAGAACTAGCAGAGCTCCAGCGTTTGTCAGTCAGTGATGTAAATAATGTTTAAGTGCCAGCATAAGCAGAATCACGGAACAGGAGCAGCAGAACTAATAGGACCACAGCTTGTTTATGGCTAGAAACTTACTCACTAGAATACTGAGCAGCCAATATTCTAAAAAGGTTATTAAAAATTGAAGAGGGTGTAATAAATAGATGCAGGAATGATCTGAGGACTAGAGAAGGTGCTTCACTTAAAGCTGAAGTTCTCAGTCCATTGAGCTAATCACAAAAGCGATGGAGGATTGACTTGATTAATGTGTAAGTACATTTGCCGGGAGAAAATACTAATTCTAAAGCACTCTTCAATCTGGGGAAGAAAAGCTGCACAGGAAGGAATATCTGCAGTCTGAAATCAGACCTTCAAATAAGGAAAAGCAGTCTTGCATGTTATTTTTGAGGATGATCTGTTGGAACATGCTGCCAAAGGAGCGATGAGCTGTCACCCCTAGTTGAGGTGCTTCTCTGGGCAGAGATGTTGCCAAGTGCAAGCCTCAGGCTCTATTTGGGGCAACTGAACAAAACTTTCTGATTTGTGGTACAGAGAGATCAGACTGGATGATTAGATGATTCCTTCTGGCATAAGCACAAGATTGGGTTGAATTGGGCAGATAAAAGACTTTGGAAGTATGTATTTTTCTGCCCCAGGCTGAGTTCCCTGTTTCCCTTCTCTTTTGTCGCTGTGCAGGCTTCACGGCAGAGCGATATGTCCTTTGTCTGACAGTAGTCTTAAGTGTGGTTACACGCACACATGCATGCATGAAAGCACACAGCAAGTGTCCTATTGCTGGCGGTCATATGTCACTTATACCACTAACACTGTCACAATGAAACATGTGTCTCTCTCCTTGCCTTTTCCTTGCCAGTGCTATCCTATTTTTCTTGAGCTACTTCTGGCTGTGATCAGACTATTGAAATTCCCTGCATCTTTTCATGACACAGTGGTCGAGAGTGGCACGCTTGAGCTTGTTCTGATGTTTTTCTATTGCATCTCTTGTAGTGCTGGAGGTCTCAGAGTTCAGAGCTTTTCTGTGGTGCTGCTGCTACTTGGGCATTACTGCAGAAGTGCAGTGCCTGTCTGGAGCAGCTGGGAGTGGGTCAGCTCTCTGCAGGCAGGCTGCTGGGCCCATTTACAAGGGCCAGAGAGTTTTGAGCAAAGTGTTTGGGTTGTGGTAACAGGCTGCTGACCTTGGCCTGCTCGCCCCATCATGCTGCTTGCATCCCATACACAGCTGTAACGTGGGTGCTGAGCCATTTGATAAAGTGCACGCGTGTAGGGGGCTGCAGAACTGGGTCAGCGCTCTGCAGGTGTTTGCTCGCTCACGTTAGTCTCTCTGAGCATGGTCTGCAGGCAAGCATGGAGCTTTGGGGCTGCAGGCAAGCAGGATCTGTGCCAGCCAGGCAGACAGTGGGGAAGGCCTCTTTCTGTTTTGTTTTGTTTTTTTTTTTAATTTTTTTTCCCCCTTGCCTGGTCTCTTGTCCCAGACTGCCTTTCGCAGAGGATGGGGGGATTGATTAGAGCACCAAGGGGAAGGTCTGTCACTCTGAGGAATGGCCACGGGCTTATTTCTGCCTCACTGTTGTTCTGGATAGAGAAGCCAAGAGCATGGCAGGCTCTGAACTGCAGAGTAGCCTTTTGCTGCGGGCAGACCGTTACCATCAACATTTCTCTTTCTGCAGAGCTGGGACCTCATACAACAGACACAGAACTACCTGAAGCTGCTGATCTCCATCATCAATAGTGATGGTAAGGTAAACTCCTTGCTCCCAGCAGTCTAACTGGAGCAGTCACTGTCTCCAGAAGAACAGCTGATGGTATTAGTGCCACTGTGAATCAGTTCCCAGTACAGAAGAGTCACTTTATAGAGAGCTTCACTTCTCTCCCTTCAAAACAGAGTGATGGTCGTAGCTCCAGAGCTCCAACTCCCCTCTTAGAGAGGGACTTGCTGATTCCTGGAAAACCCTCTTCTCCCAGGGATGGAGGGTTATCTGAAAGCTTTACATAATGTTTTCCTGCTTTAAACCTGAAGAGAAGAAACATTTGTTCCTCTGCTTGTTGACTCTTGCTCTTATTTTGCTGGACACCTGTGTTTTCTCCCCCCCACCCAGGGTCTCATTAAGTGCCTGTTGAAGAGCCCCTTCCATCCTCTGTCATCACAGCCACCCCAATTCTTTGAAGGGTGTATATTGCCCTGTGTTGGCATCCCATTCCCTCTGGGCACTGTGACTTTGTATCTAGCACTGTTGGATAGATGGAGCCGTGTCTGGCTCTGCCAGCATGGCCAACTACAGACTCTCCTGCAGTAGTTGTGTTGGGACACACTGCAAATTTTCTAGAGTGTGTAGGAGTTGTGCCCTGTGTGTGCCTCTGCTCAATGTGTATCAGTAGGAAGGTTGGTGGGACTGAAAAAGTGTTCAGTTGGAGCAGGTTTCTCTCTGGTGTGGGGGATAGATTGTGATAGTGGGTTGCAACTGCCTAGGTACATGTGGTGGGTAGTAAAGTGATGTTCATACCTAGTGACTTCATGTCCTGAGCAGCTGTCAGGACCAGGACAGCACATCAGCTGGAGCTGCAGACAACCCAGGACACTCAGAGGAATTTGTTGGCTTACGTATTCAACAGAAAAATGTTCTGAGTGAGCTCTACTCTTGAGCCTGGGCTATGGGGATGGAGGGTAGCTTGTCTCTATGTATTTGCCATAAAGGAAAGTCATTACTCTTGTCACAACATCCTTTTTTTTTCTTTCTTTTTCCTACCCCTGCCTGGAGCAGATGACAGTGGGCTCCTGGTGCACTGTATATCTGGCTGGGATCGAACTCCTCTCTTCATCTCCTTATTACGCCTCTCCTTGTGGGCTGTGAGTACTTGGCTGACCTGCTCTGCTTCTGGGGGTGATTGCTTGGAGGGTGAGTGACTGTCACCAGGAAGTGGTGGTGGAGCAGTTAATGTTCCTTTTGACTATATTGGCTTTAGAGAGGGTATGGATTGGCTTTGTGGAGCCCAGCGTGCTGTCCTGCCATCAGACACTGTATCACAGGCAGGTGGAGCAAGCTGGGAGTCTTGGATCACCATGGCAGTTTTCAGTAGATCATGAATTCCCAGGGCCCGAGGCCCAGGGCTGCTGCCTGAAGGCCATTCCCATTTGTTTTGCAGGATGGGCTGATCCATGCGTCCCTGGAGCCATCTGAGATTCTCTACCTGACAGTGGCCTATGACTGGTTTCTCTTTGGGTAAGCACACCAAGTTTTACTCGCATATGCACCCCTGTGCAGGAAGGGAGAAGCCTTCAGGGGATCATCTTCATTTTTTGCTCAGAACCAAAGGTGGATGTTGGGGCAGCTCCCAATGAGCTGTGACAAGAGGGGCTGATGCCTTTTTTTACCTGGATACTCAGGCATCTGGCCATTCTTGACAGTTTGTGCTCTTCTGCTCATTCTGGCTTCTGGTATGTGACTGAGCTTCCCTTGCTCTCTTTCCAGGCACATGTTAGCCGATCGACTCAGTAAAGGAGAAGAGGTGAGTGTCTGGTCTGGGGCAGTGGCTGAGCACTGCTTTTTGTTCTCAGGGTACTTGTTTACGGTAGCAGCATTCACTGCCGCCTTCCTGTAATATCAGTAGTCTGACTGGGCTCTAAAAAGATTATTCAGGTGCTGGAAATATGAGTTAAGAGCCTTGCCCCATCACTTCCTGATGCATAAGATGTGGGAATGCTTTTATCTTGGGCTACAGTTTGGTTGGTGGGTGTCAGTCCTGCCAGTTCCTCTGCTGTGCCATTAGTGTTCAGGCCCCTGGTGAAAGGGTGCTAGGATTTGCTATTCAGCTCAGCAATGAGAAGGGATGCTTAAGGCATGTGACTACTGGGAGCTTAGAAATAAAGCTGTACTGTCTTGTGGGCTTGTCCTGAGGGCCAGCCCTCCTGCCTGGGTGCTGCAGTTGCATGTAGCTTGCATGTCATCAGAGGCTCATGGAGCAGCTTGTGCTGGTTCCAGTGTGTGTATTTGCCAGGGTATATCTGTGGGTGCATCAATGTGTCTGGAAGGCAGTTAAGATTAGTGGAACTAATCGTCCTCAAATCTTTCACTGTTTAACAGCAAAAAATGATTGCTCTGACTCTAGTTGCAGTACACTGCAATGTCATTTTTGGATAGAAATCAAGGGGTGGAGAGTATGTCTTAACTCTGTTGCTAATCCCCTGCTCCTCAGACTCTCACTTCATTAGAGAATCCCCTGCCTCTGAACAGCAGAGCTGGGACCTTGGCGTATTTTCCATCTTTCAGGGGTCCATGATCCCTGTATTAGTATTGTTCTTCCCATTCATTCCTTTCCCAGAGCTCTGCTGGCTCGAGCCTGGCAGCTCTGCTCTGCTCTGGTGCCAGCTTGGCCAAGGGCAGAGCTGGTAGCTGCAATGGGAGAGAAGGTCCTTGTCTGCCTTTAGCACTCCCTGCTCCCCACTGCAGGAGGAGAAGGGCTCAGCTCTGTGCAGGTAGATGGGGTGGCAGAGGCACAGCGGGGTGAATGCCGCAGAGCAGACTGATGCATGGCAGGGCACGAGCTTGGGACCACAGACGCTGCAGGTATCACATGCTTCCAGGTGTGATACAGCTGTGGTGCCAAGGTGGAGCATGCAGCTCCTACCCTGCTAGTCCTGATGGATTTGCTGCTTACCTGAGCATATAAACAGCTGCTGGGGGCCATCTCTTCTCCATCCAGCACTGATGGCATAAGTACCTGCCATGTGCTTGCAGCATGTGTGCAGGGCATTGATAAGGAGACTTGTACACCTTCCTTTCTGGGCCTCCCCGTGGCAGGGAACAGTGGGTCAGTATAACGTCTAAGGGAAGGCCCAGGATGGGATGGTGGCAGCCCACGGCACGTTGGAGGCTGGTAACTGCAGATTTGTTGCTATCTCCTTCCTGCCAGCACCTCCCCAACAAGATAAGAGGCTGCATGGAGCCTCGGGTTCATTCCTGACCCGCTCTTCTCTCTCCCTTTGCTCAGATTTTCTTTTTCTGCTTCAATTTTCTGAAGCACATCACCTCTGAGGAGTTCTCTGCTGTGAAGTCGCAGAGGTAAGAAGCCTGTGCCTGCTACTGCATGGGCTGCAGAGCCAGGGAGCTTGTTAGTGCTGTTTCTTTGGGGAGATGGAAGCCCTGGTGTCCTGGCCCAGTTTTCTTTAATTTATTCTGCACTCTGAAGGCTGCAAAATGGGGCCGAGGCTTGTGAGGTGCCACGTTGTGCTCTGAAAAACTGTCCATGCTGAAACGTGCTCTCTGCTTAATGACTGTCCGTGACTGCTTTAGCACGGATGAACCCAGAGATGTGTGCTCTTGCTCAAGCAGGCTGTGCAGCAAGGTCCCTCAGGCACTGCTAGGGGGAGCGGGGCGGCTGGTTTTTAACAGACAGCTAAACATTAACCCCTTCCTATTTCAGGAGGGGCAGAAGGAAACAAAGCCCACCATGGAGGCTCTGAATAAGCATATGTCTGTCTGCAGCCTGTTGCCACTCTCTTAAAGCACAGGGTGTGTGGGCTGGGACTGTTAGGAGAGTCAGATACTGCTCACCAGCCCCATACCCTCCCCTCTGCCCCTACACAGCTAGCTCCCCACCGCTCCAGTCTGTGTGCTGTAGAGATCTGGCTATGGACAGCCTCCACACAGCCCTGAAGCATGGCTGAGGTAACTTTGTCTTTCCTTCCCCAGAAGGAAGAGTTTGCCACCTGGCTTCACCCTGGAAGAGATCTGCATGCTCAGTGAGTGCTGCTGCCGTGCATCAGTGCCCCTGGGTGCTGGTAATGGTTGATCACTTGGGGGCTTGGGTTCCCAGCATCAAGGTGTCTACAAATGGGTATGCTTCCATCTGGGCCTTGCAAGAACATAGCCCCAGGGCACACGGGAAGTGTATTGCTTAAAGGGAGAGAAAGTGAGCGAGACCACGCTGGTCTTCAGGTAGCTCTGTTTTCTTTTCTCTAGAGCAGAGGGACCGAGGCAGCACCACAAGTCTGAGCAGCGACTTCTCCCTCGGGATGGAAAGTTCCCCTGGAGCAGCTGGGAGCTTCACCTATGAAGCAGTGGAGCTGATGCCAGCAGGAGCACAGGCTCAGGCAGCATGGTGAGGAGATAACCACTTGGGGGGCTGCAGAACAAAAGGGGCAGGCTCTGAGCACAGTAGAAAAGATATTTCTGAAGTTCCTCACCCTCCAGAGCTGCTTTCTATGGTATGGCTTCCTTACAAAGGAGGGAGGAATTTGGCTGTGAGAGACTTTGCTGCAACTTTTGCTACAGAACTTCTGCACCAAAAATTGGAGACCACCCCATGTTAAAGACTGTCAGACTTCTGTGGGGGTGCTCCTGAAGTTTGTGCCCTGATGAGAGTAAAGCAGCTTTGTTTCATTTTCACCAGTTTCACTGTTAAACTTAATCCAGAAAGGATTTCATTACTTCTAAAAGATGATTCCAAACTACCAGAAAAATGACATTTGGCAGCAACCTCCCCAGGGAAAAGTGGAGACAGTTTAGCTGCCCTAAAATGAAGCTTAATCAGTTTATGGAAGAGATTATATGGAGGAGTGTCTGCAGTTAGTGGTAGGTGGGCTGGGTGGCCAAGAATCCCCTTTAAACTTTAGCTCCTCTAACAGCATGAGGTATGTGAGCTGAAAGCAGATTGCTGCCTGCAGCACTGCTTGAAGATACTTCTAGCGGAGAAATACAAAATTCTCGGTGCTCCCTGTTGATAGAGGGTCACATAGGACTCGCCTGGGGCTGCAGGTAGCTGTCTGGAAGCAGGGACTGGGGAAGGTGTCTGGCAACTCTGCTGCTCTGGGACAGGCGTTGTGCTTACTCGTGGAGTTTCTGGTGGTGTTTGGGGATTTCAGAACCTTCCTGTAGGCTTGCCCCTCTCAGTTTAATTTTTCTCTCCTCTCCCTCAGCACATGTGAAGATGCTATTTTATATTGCAATTATTTTAAATTAAATCTGGGTTGTGCTGGAGGCAGTTAGAAGTCCTCTGGGACTGAGCCTGAAGCCATGCTAGTGGCAGCAGCCTTTCTAAAGCACACTGTGATTCAATTTATAAAGTGCTGAAGAGGGGAAGAGAGAATCTTCCTGCAGAATCACAAAATGGAGATGGGGAGTCCCAAACTGTGTTTGCCAAGTGAGCAGCGCGGTGTCCTCTTGAACACACAGAGCCTACCAATCCACAGCAAAGTGATTGCAGCAAGTAGAGAACAACTTTCCACTTGCTTGGCTACAGAGTAGTAAACTGGAAGCATTTCCCTTGCTCTGAGTGCTCAGGACATACAGACTAGATGCTGCAGCGCAAAACCTACACATGATTTTCACAAGATGTGAAGTGGCTGGGGCATGCTGGAATAGATCTGCTGCGCTTTGTGCGTATCAAGGCTTGATTTTTGTGACGTGTTTTCTGACTCCGATTTGCTCTCACTCCTGTTGGAGACATCAGGCTGTGTTGGGGCTAGCTGCTGCTGCCGTGAGGACGGTTTGGGCCCATACTGTCGGCATGAGCTTTGGGGAAGGGAAGGTTGTGAGCCTTGCCATGAGTGCTTAGTGAGGGGATGTCTTGCCACAGGCTGTTGTGGCTGTGTAGTCTGGAGGACAGGTGGGGCTTGCTACAAGCTGGGTGAGCTGGGCTGTGCATAGCGTGAGTGGGGAGAGGAGAGGACATGCTTCATTGTGTTGTCCTGAAAACAGGTGGCCTCGAGGTCTTCTTGCAGGGAGAGGCATTTGGTTTTTAGCTGTACAAGCCTGTTTCTGCAGGCTGTGCTTGGAGATGTTGGCAGGTATGATAACAGGAGATGAATAATGCTTGAGAGAGGTTGTGGTGTGATGTTTGAGGGTGGACACACTTCAAGAAATTAAGAGAAGATATTGTGCTTTCCACTGTACAATGAGCCTGTCTTTAGCTGCAGTTGCTGACAGTGCTGGAGATCTCAGTCAAAGCTGAGATGCCCTTCCAGATTCCAGGAAGAACAACATCTTTTCTCCTTGAGTTTGTTTGCTTTAGGCTTTTCCTTTTTACCTGTGTACACAGGAAGATCTTTGTCCAATTCACTGTGGTTTTGGAAGAGAAAAAATTCTTGGGACTCTTCCAGAAAAAAAAAACAAACACTGATGTAAGAAAGACAGTCTTCTGAATGTGGAGCAGCAGTGATGTGAATTAGTCCCAAATATGTGTGCCTGTTTGGTTTGTAGCTGGATGGTACTGTGAGCTAAGGCCTGATGCAGCAATAGACAGTGAATCACACCCGAGTCTGAATGTGCTGGCTAGAAGAGAAGCCAGAGTAGTTCTGGGCTGTCAGCATGGACAAGGAGACGACTGAAATGCACCTGCATCTGGAGTTACTGTCAGCTCTGAGCACATGGTCAGAAGCGTGGTCAGTGGTGCCTGAAGGGAGTCACTAAAAGGGAAAATAACACTGGTGATGTGTCCCTGTCACCCTCGTTAGTGCGCACGAACGCCCACCTGGGTTGAGCTCCTCAGCTGATACACTCTGTAGAGCTAGAGCAGATTGTAATGGTCTTTCCCTGCTGGGAGGCCCCTTGCTTGAGGCATTTTTGCAGCTAGACTAAACAAAGCAATTGCTGTATGTGTGTGGGCTGATGCATTCTCCTGTCTCTGATTTCCAGGTCACGTGAACAGTGATCTATAAAAGAATGGGCTAAGATGGGTTGAGCTCAGTGTACCCTTGTCACTAAGCGGTTACCCTGTGACTCATGGTTCCTTGGGAGGGAGGAGGGCCGTTTCAGTGGGAACAAGAGCTTGTAGCTGCTGGGGTAAAATCCAGCCTGTTGTGGATAGGCTTTGTAGTTGGAGTACGTGGGAAAGCCAGCTTTCTCACCCAAGTCCTTCATCCCACAGGAGGAAGAGCCGTGCATCGTCACCACAAGCCGTGCTCTGGAGCAGGGCACAGCAGTCTGAAGACAGGCTGTCTTCTGCAGGGATGGTTGAAGTCAAGTCCTCCAGCTCCTCCTCATCAACTCATTCTGATAACTTCCTGAGGATTGGAAGCAGCCCACTGGAAGTGCCCAGATCCAGGTGAGATGGGACGGAGTAGAGCATTTCTCACCAAAATGAATGTCTGCTAAAGGGAGTGCAGGGCTACACTTGTGTGGCAGTCAGAACTTGGGAGCACATGTGTTTGTATCTACAAACAAGCCTCAGGAGGCCTGTTCCTCTCTAGCCTGACCTTGTGTGAAACGCTGACCATTAAACACAGAGACTTCTGCCTCAGCCCATTTAGAGGAGTGAGGAACTGTGCCGATAACAGCTAGTTGTCTGTTCTGCCTGTCCTCCACACATGCCTCGACTCCACGAGCTCTGGCATCTCTGCATCCTGGATGCTTGGAGCTCACAGCACTTTCTCTGTCAAATGCATCCACAGGGGTTTGAAATGGCTGTGTTGTGTGGGGGAGGAAGCCTTTCACTTCAAGCAGACCTCACTCTGCATCTATCCTGTCCCCCTTTCCGCCTGCTGACCTTCCTGACACTGCAGGTTGGAAAAAACTCTGGGTGCTGGTGGCAAGCAGAGGTAGAATCTGCTGGGAGCAAGCTGGGAATGCTGTGCCGGCACAAAGGATTTTGCCCGGAAGGCTGTGTGTTCCTGCTGGGCAACCGGGGAATGGAGACCCTGGACCTGAGCCTAATCTCATGCCATAACAAAGGATATTCTGGCACCCTTCTGGAGTCTGATGCTGCGGTAGGGCAAAGCGAAGCGGTGAGCTAGGCTAGGGAAGAAAGGACAGAGCCTGTGGAGTAAACACCATGTGTTTAGGCCAACAGGGGATAAAGAGCTCTTAGATAAGAGGTTGCTGTTAACAGCATCAAACACTTGTATACTCTCTGCAGGTTTTCTGATGAGTCTTTTTCTGGTGATTCCTTTCAGAAACAGCCACCAGCCAAATTTTAGTACTCTCTCATCACATGGAAAATGACAAACAAGTAAAGCCCTGAAAATTTGTAAGACTTTCTTACCAAGTTTCTTGATTCCAGAGAAAAATCACTGTCTGACAGTTTTCATAAATGATGCTAACTGTTCTCCCCTGGGAAAGAGATCAATACGATGGTTTTGAGTTGTTGCTGAGGCCCACTTCTACATTCTCTGTAAGATGAAACACATCTCCCAAGAAGAGAAGAAAATACTGGAGAGAAAACAGCTTGTTTTGGGAGCTGCTTTTGTTCATGACAGTAGTGCCACAATTCCTGTGTGTGGTCTCATGCCATTCCCAAGACCTGACAGGCTGTTCAGCGCTGGGCTGGTAGTGAGCTTGCAGCCATGCTGTGGAAGAAGCAGTTTATAATGCTTCAGCTGGATTCTGCTCTGTGAGAGCGATGTGGAGAAACAGAGTAGGCAGAAGAGCACCACGGGAAGGGGCTGAGCATACAGTCCCTGGGATTTGCATTCCAGAGGCTCAGAGTTGGTAAAGCCAGCAATTATCTTTCCTCTGGTTGTGTCTGGATGAGGTGTCTGTAAGCTTTTGGATGATTAGTGCCCATTGGTGTCAGGTGTTCAGAACTGGCACCCCCAGGGCTTGAGGCAGCCAGTAAGCATGGTAGGGAAGCTTGTTACTTCCAGGCCAGCGTCCCTGGAGGTGTCTTTTCCCTATGCTCAGTAAATATCCCTGAGAAGGAGTTCCAGTATTGTATCATCGTAAGAGGTAAATGTTCTGTGAATTCTGCTATAAACATTTTCCTGACCGTTACGATAGCTCTACCATGGCACAAAGCCTTTATAACCCTTCAGTGCAGCAAGGTTGCACCAGTCCAATCCCTCTTAATTTTTGTGAACAAGGCAGTGTGAAGGGCTGGGCTAGGAAGAAGTATGTGATGGGAGAATAGGGGATAGAAGGGGAGCAAACCCCTTGCACAGCCTGGAACTAAGGGGACAGGAAAAGGGAATCAGTTGTGAAGCCAAAGTGGTGAAATCAGCTGCACGCAAAGATGGTTGGCCTGCGACACTCGTGCTGGGTGGAGGCTGTACACCTGTATGCTCTCCACCTCTGGTGTCACCTGGGTTTGCCCTGCTCCTCTCAGTGTGCAGGCTGGAGGAAGTAATCCTAGAGACTCTGTACGGAGTGGGTAGAATTGTCAGAGCAACAGCTGAACTGAGCTTCTCTTTCAAACCAAGTCTGCTGGCACATTCATGCTCCTTTGCCTCCTAGTCCATTGCCAGACCAGTCACTGTGCCCTGCCTGCCTTCCCTGGAGTAACACTGCTAACAGCTCTGCTAGCTAAAGACTTGAGCAATGCGTTGCCTTGTCGGACGCTGGAATGGCTTGCACTTTCTGGGGCCTGAACATGGTGTGTTTTCTCCAGAGAGAGGAGTTATGTCACTTGACTTGGCTTTGGTGTCCATACTTGGACTATGTTAGTCTGAATCTGTCTAGTAAGCTCCGTGCAGGTAATGGATATCACAGTACCTTCAGCCACCATTTTCCATCCTGAAGGAAAAAAAAGAGTCCCATATTGGATGGAGAAGGAGTGTATCTGACAGAAGGAAGAGGTAAATTCTATCCCTTCACTCCCTGAAACATGGTGGGACTGGGATGGAAAGGCTGGAGCACTGAGACTGATCAGGATGCCAAAAATACCTTTATCTCTACAGTGCTGCTGGCAGGTTAACACCCAAGGCTCTTAAGATGAAGAAACTACTGTACTTGACTTCCTAATCCTCTGGTTGTGTGGCCATAGCAACAAAACACTTAACCACTGCAGCAGCAGTTGAGGAAAAATGGTTGCTTGTAAAATGCCAGCAGGTACCCTTCAGGTCGTTCATGTAAACAGCCCAGTCTGGGTGCTGGGAGGCAGGGGAGCTCCAGAGGGAATGGGAAGGCAAGCTGGCAGGGAGAGATGAGCAGGGCCTGGGAGGGGAACTGGGGTGTTGAGTCACAAATGTCAAGTCAGATGGTGGGAGCCAAGCCTCTCTCCTGGCCAGGCCGTGTTGGCAGTCTGCTGCTGCCAGCACCTCACCAGCCCATCTTCCGAGTCCTGCTCTGATCCAGAGGTCCTGAGTGCCCGTAAATCACAGGATGGTTCTTGTTAGGCAAAGCAGTACAAAGGCAAATTCCTAGCAGTCTTCTAGCTTATCCCAGCATTGATGGTAAGATCACATCTGCTGAGGGCAAACATGCATGAATCATAGAATTGTTTAGGTTGGAAACTGAAGATAGCGCATAGATTATTTGCAGAGTAGGACAAGATACTTCCTCTTTTACAGAGAGCTCCGAGTATGGCAGATAGTGTGCGTTGAATTGAACTCCCTGCGTGCGAGCGGGTAGTGGCTTGCAAACCATGTTCTGTGTTTGCATTTGACACTAATAGTCTGAGTGTCCCATGACACTGCAGAAAAACCCTGTATCTGTGTCAGGGATTTAGTGTGTGTGTACATAGCACTAATGTGGATTAGCAGCTGGATAATCTTTGGTTGAATGTGCTTTTGCTAAGTCAATTAAACAAAACCCAAAGTACTGTGATCTGAAGAGTTGAGATCTGCAGGAGTTAAATTGTGGAGAATCTGCTTTGATCAACAGCCACAGAGAACTCCCTTACTTAAAGGGCTGCGGATAGTTCAGATGTGGGTCTGGAGGGTGTGCAGTGAGCACAGAGAGGGGCAGAGAAGCTGCTGTCCCTTGACTTTGGGCGTTTTGTTGAAGTGTTAAGACTGCTTGCGCACTATATGTCTTGCTCCTTACAGCCACCTGGCTTGGAAGCTGTATCTGCAGTGTGACAACTTGGGATAGTGACCGCAGCAGGACAGGAGTTGTTTACAGGAATGTTTTCTGGAATTATTATGCCACAAAATGGGCTTGCTGGCTGGCACATGACTGTGCTGCAATCAAAAATGGTTGTGCTCGCAGAGGACTGGTTGCTCAGGCTGTTACGGCACTGACACAGCCTGTAGATAGCTGCCTGGAATTCAGCCAGGGCTCTCAGTACAGCTCTCTGCCAAGTTCTCCTTGCCAACATTTCCCACGCAAAGGTGGGAAGGGCTGTCCTTTACTCCAGGTTGCCACAGTCTGCCTGTGCGTACAGTACCTACTTAACGCTTCAGTTTGAGGCACAGACCATATGCTGGCAAATGAGCTGCTTCCCAAATAGTCCTAGGTGTGTGGAAATATGGCAGGGGAGCGGGGGCAGCACAGGGCAGGATGAGAGCCTGGCTGTTGGCACTTGTCTCAGTTACATACTAAGAAAGAGAAGGATCCATGACTGTTGCTCTGCCTCCGGTACTGGCTCTCCTCTGGTAGGCGAGTGTCCATGTGCTCTGAAATACTCATATCTTGTGCAGCATGTTGCATGGGAAGCACTGACCTAATTAAAAGGAACCATTCCAGGCTAGGAGTTGCCAATTTATGGCCTGCTAGAGGTCCTTCCTTGTGTGAAGGAACAGCTTGCAGCTCATCTCTGTTTTGCTAATCTAATTTTGTTAATCTTGCACTTTTGAGGGAGTTTCTTCCCACTCGTGGACCTGAAGAGGTGGGTGTGTGAAGCTCACTTTCATTCTCTTTCTGTCTGCCATTAGATGTCTGTGACAGAGACAGTGACTTGAAGACTTGCTGTATCTCTCTCCTCTAACCATGTCAGCTTTGCTGTAGTCGTCCAGCTGCTTCACAAGACCCTCTGCACTGCCCTCGCAGCTAGCCAGCCTCTGGCATGGCTATAATGTGTTGCAAATGTGGTGTTCTTGCAGCTTGGGGACTGGTCCTGGTGTTCCAGCAGCCCCACTTTGCTCTGGGGGCCTCACTGAAGCCCCTTTTGGGGCCTCTGCAGCAAGACTTTACAAGGAGCCCTTGGGTAGAAATAAGAGGAAGACTTTCACCTCTGACGTTGACTGGATTGCGCTGGGATACAGTCACCCTAGAGATCTGGTCTTGGTCTCAAGCCAAGCTCAGCTTTTAAGAAGCTCTGCTGCCCTTGCAGTGCAAACACATTTCCCATGCCATGCCTTCCCCACCTGTCTCACCCAGCCTTGGCCCCTGCTCTCTGTCAAGATGCTTGTTGGTTGTGACACTTCTTCAGGAGCCTCCCTTGAGAAGGCGCTGGGGATAGAGGGGGAAGTCTGCCACGATATCTTAGCTCTGCTGGCTAAGCTCAGATATCTAAGCCAGGAGAGAGATGACCTGGACTCATTGCAGAGTCAATCAGTTTATTCCATTAATCAACAAGTGTTTATTGTGCTGCCTGGAGGCGAGACACAGAATTGGCTGCCTTGAACTCCTAGACTCCTGTGCTGTTAGGTTAAATGTAACTTGATGAAGTTTGCACAGCTGCTTGACAGGGTCGGGGACCCTAGGAAGGATTAGAGGGCTAGAGAGCCCCTGAGAGTCAGTATTGCGGGAGGTACACAATGCTTTTACCAGCCTGTCCAAGAAAGGATTCAAGAGGTGACTTGATCCACATCCAAGAGGTGGTGTAAGATCAGTCTAATCTTAGCTGACAACCGCGGAAGGTGACCAGCAGCTGGAAGCTGAGGCCACGCGCCCGAAGCAGGAAACAATTTTCTGCTCACCTTCTTTAGCATAGACTTATCTGACCGGTGTCGTTGATGATACTGAGCAGAGGGACATTTTCACTGTCCCTAGGGCTCTGGGTCATGTCTTACTCCTTTGCTTGCCCGTGGGCACGGTCTCCTAGGCAGGCTCCTGATACCCCTCTCCCTTTGCAAGAACTGCAGCGCTTTGCTCGGTTCTCTTCACCTTCACCTGGAGATCCTGCCATAGCCCAAGCCCTCCTCTGCCATCCAGACTTGCCCTCTTCAAAACCTTTGGTTCTGCCTGGCCCCAAACCTATCCTCTGTTGAGCAACTCATTACTCTTCTGACAGAATCATGTCCCTGTCTACTTTCAGCCCAAGTCCATTGCCTGTAGACCTCTTTATTGCTTTAGCTCCAATTGTTGTCACCGCATGTGACGCTCCTGTTTTTCCTGTCTGGCTGTGCTGTACTCTCAGGGAGGTGACATCCTCCTCTTCCCTCTGCACTGAGGCAGTGTTTCTCTATGCTTCTCCCTGGCTTCCTGCACTGTTCCCACTGTGCTTCCAGCATGGCACCATGCTCTGGGCCCAAACGCTCTGCCTGCTCTCCTCCTTTACAGTGACTTCCTCAGCTTTATCTTCCAAAGGCAGGGAGACGGGTAGATGTCACTGAACAGCTGCTCCCTTCCCCTTAGAAATTTCTTGCATCCAGGGAAGGTTATCCCTGTCTGATCTCCAAAAGGTCTTTCTAAGAGTATATGCTGCAGTTTCGCTTTCAGTGAAATGCCCTCGTTCTTATTGCGGCATTACGTGCTCTAGGAAAAACACCTTTTTGCGAGAAGGAATTCTCCCAGTGCTCTGAACCTCACTCCTCAGTTCATCGAGCGGCCAAAGAACAAGAGCTGTGCAAGGCAGGTGAAGCTCTGCTGTTATTTTCCACCGTGATGCCCTTCCGGAGCCTGAACCTCCAGACAGTGGTGTTACCCCCAAACTGCAGCTGTGGGAGCATCACCACTGTGATGGGAAGCTGACATGCAAGGAGCTGTGTGACTTCCCCTTCTCCACTTGTGCAGCCAGCTCGGGTCCACGTTTCAGACTTCTCAAACTTGGTCGTATTGATCGGACTAGTTAAGTAGCGGGGTTGGAATGAGATCAAGATCGCAAATTTCCTGGTGTGCATCTCCCCCTACCCTTGCCTTCCTGTCTCACTGAGGTCCTTCTTGCTGTGGGAGATCCTGTCTTTCTAGCTGTTCTCCTGGTCTCTTGGGGAGCAGCTGCAGTGCGCCACTGCTATTCTTAGCTGTGAAGACAGCGTGCAAGTACCTGGCCCAGCAGAGCTGGAGCTGGTGCACTGCTATCTGCCCAGCAGATCTCAAATAAATTATCCAGAAGATCTTGGTAGTGTGTAATTGAGTAGCTCTGCCACAGGCTGTGCTTCCAGCTATGTACACTCTGCTGTGCAGCGGGGCACAGTAATTGCTTGCTCCCCAGAAACCAAGAGCTCTGAGTTCGTCTCAAGTGATTGTGCCCTCTTCTCTGAGATTTTGGAGGGACTCCTCAGATTCATTTATCAGATTTCATGCCTCCTTCTTTCCTGGTGGGAGATTGCATACATCAAACAATTATCCTCCCTTGGCTATTTTTCCTGTCCTAAAGATGTTTTGCCACCTGGTTTCTGGTGCAGTCCGTTCTTCTAACACAGAAATTAAAAGATCTTCAGATGCTGAGGGGGGAGGCATGCCCTGGGGACATCTTGAGCACTGACTGGCTCTGTTCAGGTCTGATGTTAATGCCTCAGGAGTGATCTGCATTCTAACAGCTGCCAAACCAAGAATTTCTAAGTCTTTCTCAGCATTAACCAAGTCACAGTCTTGATTCTCCGTCAGGCCTTGCCTCTGCCCTGGGATGTGCTAACAGCTACAACAAGCACCAGGGAGATGCCCCTTGTACAGCACAACATCCGCATCTGTGAGGGATTCAGGGCCGGACATGCTGTTGCATCTCACTAACAGGTTTCACAGTTCTGCATGGCCATCTGCTGCTTGCTGGCTCTGTCCTGTCCGGCTCCTGGTGCGCTCCTGCTGCTTTGTTGGCTGCAGCCAGCTTGGCTTTCCTCTCGCTTTCAAAAGAAAGGCTTGGCCTGGGGCCCAGCCAGAGCTGCATGTTGCACCCTGGTCCCCGAGTGTCAAAGCTGTTGGCACAGCCATTGCTGGCGGCCAGTCCGGCGGGTCCCTGGCACCAGCATTGGTGAAAGGCGTGTGGCTGAATGACCTGACTGATCGCGCCGTCTCCCTCTCTCTCTGCCCCAGATCGGCCGACCATTCTCTGCCCGGATCTTCCGTTTCCACAGACTTTGGCAGCTGGCAGATGGTGACAGGGTGTGGCAGTATTCGGGAGCAGGCAATCCTGAGCGCAGACGCCTCACTCCCTTGCAGCTTCCCGGATGAGTTCCCTAGCACTTGCCTGTAAGTGTCTCAAATGCAGGATCTCTCCTTGGGTCTCTCGGCTGGCTGCGAGCGCTGGAACTTTATCACCCTAGCACTTCTGAAGAACCCTGGGAGTCCGTAACTGTCCCATCTTCCCTGCCTTAATGCTTTCCATCCACACATTCAGTCACTGAGCGCTCTTTGCTTATGCTGAACTCGGAAAGAAGCTGGCATTTTCTCTGCATAATGGCAGGGAGGGCACTTTGCTTTCTGTAGAAAGAAGAGGCTTTTCTCTCTTCCCTGAAGACATGGAATTTGGGCATAATTGAGTGCACTTGAGGATGCATGCTTCTCAGGACAGGACTGGTAACCCAGATTTTCTTGCTTTTGGACCTTGCTTATTTCCATCTCCCCACTGGGGTCAGATCCTTGCTGCAGTAATTCCTTCTGTAACCCTGATTTTGTCTGACCACGCGCAGCATCGTTTGCAGGTTCTGCATCTGGTGAGTGCAGAGCAGCAGAGACCCTGCATCCTGCCACTTCCTGCCATGTAAAATGGCTGAGAGGCAAATGTTCCTCCCCAGAGAGAAAGCCACCTCTGTGGAAGCTTGAAAGACAAGAGATGTGCTTTAATTGCTGTTAGAGGAGTAGCTTGGCTTGTGCCTTCAGGCTGCAAACTCTCAATCAAGAAACTGAAATGGCAGATCAGGGGCTGCCGCAAGTTAGCTGTGCTGCCAAACGCTTGCGGTCCCTTACCGAGATCTGAGTATGTGCTTTGGAGGCAGAGGGCAAGCGACATGAAAACCAACATCTCCTGTGAGACAGGCTAGCTGCCCTGGCTCACGTTCTCACGTGGCTGTGTGCTGTGCCGCTGAGCAGAGCAGCTGCCCCCAAGTTAAGGTGAAACTACAAGGCCTATGAATTAGCAGATCGAAAAATCACAAGAGATGTTAGATGTGGCCTGGCTGGGATTTGCTCTCCTCCTTTCATGAGGACACACTGAGCTGCTCCTGCAGTTGTTTGGAGATGGGTGAGGGAGCAGAAGGGACTGAAGGATGAGCATCTGAATTGGTGACGGCTTTAATGTGCACTGAACCTGGCTGTGCTTGGTGGCTGCTGATCACCAATGAGTTGTTGCTGCCCTTGGAGTTGGATCTAACATCAGACTAGAGCATTCAGTAGAGAAATGTGAATTGAAGCTGAGCTCTGAATCTGCCTGTGCTGAGACCGTGGGCTCATGCGGTTTGGAGGCCGGCTGCTTGGGACAGCTGAGTCCAAAGGGAAAGGGACAGCGGTGGTGCTTCTCCCTTGGGTGTGCAGCAGATGCTGTGAGAGCTCTGCCCTCTTCAGCTCTTGCTGTGGGGTGCTCAGGGGCTGGGGACTGTTTGTGGGTGCTGGGACCCAGTGCTGTGTGGAAGGGATGCAGAGTTCCCAAGGATGTTGTGTTGAGCTTAACCCAGGGCCTCTGCACTCTCTCTACTCTGCGTCACCTCTTTTTGCTTAGGAGCCCATTGTGGTTTTATCCCAGTTTTTCGCAGCCCTGCACAGTATGAGTTTTTTGAAAATTAAATTCCATTTAAGTTCCCACTTTACATCTCAGCTGGCAGGAACTCGATGAAGGTATGCTTTTTACAGCCTACTACTTGTGCTTGTGTGGGGCTTGTCAGGGCTTACTTTGAGCTGGGGTTTTGACAGCCTCCTCTCATCCTGCACCCCAAGCTGCAGACGAGCGGGCAGGCTGTAGGAAGCGTAGCAGGGCAGAGCACCGCGGATTTGGCAAGGAAGCACGACCTGCCTCCCTTGTTGAATTGCTCAGAGTGAAATGGTGCAGCCGGTCTGCAGGGTTTGGTGTCAGGCAGTGGCTCGCTGCTTGACACCGCACCTTGGAGTGTTTCACTTCAGGAAAGAAACCTAAAAGTCTAAATACAAAATCTGCCTTGTAAAGAGGTGCGAGAGCCAGGATCTAACTGCCGGGACCTAACTGCTGCACACCCTCACTTACCTCTGCGTGTGACATTTAAGATCAGTGTACGCGGGCGCAAGTAAGTCCTTTCATGTAGCTTATTTCTAATGCTAGCAGGTTTGCGCACTCCACGTCCTAATTAGGTTGCCAAAAAAGCATCTTTTTAATGTGTTTAGATATGTTGCCTTTTTTCTTTGCCCTCTGGCTTCTCTTTATTATCAGACACTGTAAACAGCGGCCTGGTTGGCTGCCTCAGCATCGCTTGCTGTTTATAGGCCTCCCACCATATCCTCTTGCTGCTGTTTCCGGACCGAAGCTGTTGGCTGTGGGTGGTTAACACTTCCATTCAAATGAGCTGTGCCAATTTATAGCCAGCCCAGGCACTGGAGAGATTAAAGAGAATTTTTTATGGGAAGGTTCGCGCTGTGCCCTTGGAGTGACCTTTGAGGAATGTCTTATTCTCTCTGGGAACTACCGGCACATCGCAGAGGCACTGCAGCAAGGACCATTTCAGGCCAGAGTGCTTGGAACAGCTGTCTCTGAATCCTACTCTTGCTTTCCGCTGCTCCCTTGGCTGAAATACCGCCTTCCTTCTGCTCTCTTCCCCCAGCCCCTAACCAGGTGCGTGGATCAGCTGGAGAGGAGAGCAGGTCCCGGGGGAAGCCATGCCCTACTCTGCAGGCAGCCCTCCTTGCAGAGAGCAGCTGTGCCAGGGAGCGGGAGTAAAATGCCGCTCATCTCTCCTCTTTCCACGGCTGGAGGGCTCCTGGGGGCTTTTGTCACCTTGTCTGCCCCCTCTCATCCCCCCTTCCCCAAAGGTGTCTCTACTGGCACAGGCATGAGAGGCTGGGGCCGGTGGAAGCAAGGAACGGTCCCAACAAGGTTGGAAGTGAGTGTCCAGGCACGGCACATGTGGACAGGCTCCATCTGGGAACACTGTGCGAGGAAGGGAGGGAGCTGGCACAGGGGCTGACGTCAGCCAGCGCCCACTTGGCGAAAGCAGCACTTTTCTGTATGAACCACGGCCTCGTAAGCACCGTGGTGGTGGGAGAAGCTGGAGGGGAGTGAAGGGGGAGAGCAGGAGGCTGGGGCTGCGAGAGGCTCCAGGGAAGAGGGTTGGGTTGGGTTGGGTTGGGTTGGGCAAGGAGGCAGTGGCGTTGGGTTGGGTTGGGCAAGGAGGCAGTGGCACTGGCTACAGC